CCATGTATATTTTCATGATATTGATTCAAATTGATGAGAATATTAATTCACTTGGAATAATCAATTTCTTCAATATTACAATTTAATGAATAAGAAAATGAATTAAAAAAATTTTCTCATTTTCTTTTTCACAATTGTTTACAAATCCATCAGTTGATTTGTAATAATTTAACCTTCTTATGGTCAATTATTGATTATCCTTAATCATCATCATCATCAACATTTAAATTCCATTGATGATCTTAATTATCTCTGATCACCTCCCCAATCATCATCATCATCCTACTCTCTTACCACCCTACCCACCCACTCTTCCTCCTCCCACTTTGATTAATTTTGATTATTTCTTTCCGATAATCAAATTAATAACCATAATCATGATAATAATCAACAACAGGTAAAACTATTTACAGGTAACTTTTTGTTTGATCACGCCAATGAAAGTTCAGACTCTTGACCATGATAATCATAGGGCCAAGAGGATGATGATGAAGATGATAAATGAAGATAAGGATGATTACTATATGTATCCATCTTTTGAAGGTATTAACATTTTCAATCTAATTCAATATCCGGGGTTAAATTGATTCAATTGATTTTCTCATTGAGTAAAACTTTTAATTCATTCAAAAATTATTATCAACACGGATTCTAGGATTTGAAAATTACAGGGAATCACAATTGATGAATGAGTTTCTATTATACATAATATATAAATTATACCTCATTTGTGTTAATCATTTATAATCAAATTAAATCCTCGTTGATGATTAACAACTAATTCAACATTAACAATAAACATTTTGTTAATCATCTAGCAATCAATTAACTTCAACTAATTTTATAAGGATAATACAATTAAAAGTTTTTCATTGTTATTTGTTGCTAATGTTGTAAATAAGGAAATTGCTAATGATTAGTAATTGAATCAGTTAATTGTTTAGATGAAAATTTATTAGGGAAAAAAAATAAGTTAATTGCTCTCGTTAATTGTTACCAGATAAGTTTCAATGTTTACTTTTTGATTATTAATTGTCACAATTGACAAATTATTGCCTTTTTTTGCTTATTATATTACCGATTTAATTAAATAATTAAATGAATTAACTAATTGTTTAATCACTTTCTAGTCTATATTTTTTTTGTTTGATCAATTGGTTGGTTAATCATTTAATTTAATTACTTTCATATTTCATAATAATTGTCAAACAATAATTTGTGATACTTTGAAATGAGTAACTTGAAATTTTCAAATATTTACAATTTAATAAATTGTTACAATTTGTTTTAATCATTTTGATTATGCCAAATAAATTAATCATTTCAAGTGATTAACAAGTGATTAAGAGGTTTTCATAATTTCAACCAACAATCAAGATTTAATTTCAATTCAATTATTGTTCAAACTCCGGGTTACCCTTGAAATGATTAGGATACACAAGCGATTGATTTGATTTGATTTGATTACTTAATGACAATTAACAATTGATTGTTTTGTTTATTAACAACCATTTATTATAAATCGATACAATATCCATTGGCAATGATTTAATTGTGGTCATATCGATGGGCAATTTGAATTACAATCAACCTAGAAATTAAGCCTCCAGGGCAATTAAGAGAGCGAAAAAAAAGTCTCAAAGTGAAAAGTGAGCAATTTAATTGTTGAGCAATTTAATCACAATTATTTTAACATTTTGTTCATTTCCAAGCCTAACCTTTAATTGTAATCAGTGATCAGAGTTAATCATTCATTATGATGATTTGAAAAAAAAACCATCATCATTAAGAGTCCAATCAATGTAATCATTTTGATATTTAAACCTGCAATTGACCACAATTAAACCATATCAATCAATTTAGTGATAACCAATTAAATTAGCATAACCATTGATTACTTGATCAATTTAATTACAATTAAATTATATCAAAGTAGCAGAAAAAAAAAATATTAATCAACCTTCAACTGGGTAACAATTTAATTGCTTGAAGGTTAATCAAAAATACAATATTTTTTAAGGTACTAATTAGTTGGGCAATTAAACAAATTATGGTTAACTTTTTGATTGTAGATTTACAATTTATCTCAATGAATGGGGAAAAAAATTGCAAGTTAATCAAAACCCTTAATTGTTGGTTGACTTTTACAATTAACTTACAATTAGCAAGAAAAATAAAAGGGTTACCGTTAATTACCTCAGGTCTTAATTTGATTTTTTGTTAATCATCTTCCTAAATCAACTTTTTGATTAACTTAATTAAAGTGTAAAAGGTCATCAAATCATTATAATTAACGGAATTAAATTAACATTTGGATAACAATTAGATAAATGTTGTCTCTTTATTTTTGCTATACAATTGGTTCAACAATTTAATTCATCACCTAAATGATTAAGTTGAATGATGTTAATTGTTGATCATGAAATAAAAACTCTTACGGATGTAACATTGATTAGCAATTAATAAATCACAATTAAGATCACGTAGCTAATACAATCAATGTTATGATCACCTTGAAGAAATTGATTCAAATTGTTAACCATTAATTATTTTTTACATTAATTTGATCATGAATAAATTGATTAGGTTTTAGCAAGCAATTAATTGTTACTAAACTTTGGTGATGATTGTTCAACTTGAGAGCAATTAAATTTAGTTACATGTTACCAAGAAATGATCATGTTAATTGTTGGACATAATTTGACCTTAATTGAACTTATAATTAGCCCTGTTAATACATTAATAGTTTTGTTTATTGTGTGTTGATAATTGTTTACAATTAACATAATCAACTGAATCAGTGGAGAGTACAAATTATCAAAATTAAGATGATGATTAATTCAAATGTTTATCACTCAAATCACATCTTAAATAACACAACTTGAGGGCTTAACAATTAACTATAACACCTTAACTGGTCATTATGATTCATTAAATGTTGTTGATTAAGATCTTGACAAATCAGAGAAAAAGTCAAAAGGAATCACAATTAGTTAATCTTTCGCTTGGAACCGGATTAAAAATTCATATTTATTAATAAATAATCTTGAAACTCTGAAAAATATCATTGGAAACGTTTCCATGGTTACCAATTTTTGACCTCACAGGAAAACGGAAATGATGATTTTTTTTTCATCATGATGATGAGCCCACCGAGTTAGTTATGATTTAAATCATCTGAAATAATTTACATTGACAGTTTTGCTGATGCTCAATTGATAATAATCAAGTTGATTGACATAAACACCAATTAACTGTCAACAATTTTGTTATTTTAAAACTTAAATTGTTGTAATCAACTGGTGTTAACTTTGATTACCTTTTCAAATTGTTTCATACCTTTGATTATATTGGTTAAATTATTAGTCTAACAACAATTTATGTATAAATAATTTGCTGATCATTAACAATCAAAGTCAATCAATTGTATGTCTCTCTCTCTGTTTAAACTTAATCAACTGGATTAAGGTTAAAACCATTGATGATAATAATCAGTTCAATGATTTAACATTTAATCACCTTGAAAGTTAATCATTTTAATCAATCGGTTAATTGGTAACTTGATTAACTAATTGTTGAGTTTCATGATCTCTTGTATTGTCTGAAAATCAATCAATTGTTAATGAAGGCAAAAAAATTGACACCTAATCATTATAAAGCTTAATTGTTAACTAATTATCTCAACAATTAACAATAATGATCAACAATCAGATAAATTTCCTGTTGATACCTTTTAAATATTATCCTAAATCATTTGTAATAACAATTAGTTAACATAACCATTGATTAAACTGTTATTTACAATTATCAAATTTACAATTATCATTTGCAAACTAAATTAACAAGTAACAATTTAATTTAAACTCATTTCCAAGTCTCAATAGAGTCAAAGATCAACAATTAAACCTTCAAATTCAAGGATTAACTAATCACGTTACCTTAATGTTAATCATCACAATTAACATAACGATTATCATGATAACTAAAGATGATCACAATTAAAAGTAATCCTTAACCATGAAATTAATTGTTTCAATTACCTTTGACCAAGTTAATTGTATTAAAATCAACAATTAGCATCACAATCAAAAAAACTGAGCCCATTGGATTTGATTGAAAACTCAGCATCTTATTAATAAAATTATCATGACACAATTAAGTCTTGATTTACAATCAAGTGTGTATTTAACTGATTGTTAATTAGACTCTTATGGTGAGTTAATCAACCAACAATCAATGATGATTAGTTAATCTGATGACTTTTTTTTCAGCTTTACTTTTGTTTTGTCTGTTTGATGATTAACTGAATTAACCCTCAGGCAAAATTTTCAATCAAAATTTTTTTTCTTGGTTAATCATTTGGAAGCAGAAAAAAAACTCAAATGATTATCTAAACAATTAAGAATCAAGTTTGCACTCATCAAATCAAGTCTAATGTTGATTTAATGAAAGCAAATTAAATTAAATCAAATTACTGTTAATAATAATCATCTTCATCTGATTTCTGATGTGTTTATGTTATTAAAACTAATCTGATTAATTATGTGACTCTAATTGTAAACTAATCTCATCATAATCATCAAGCTAATTAATTAATTATGTACTTAAATTAACTGTCAACCGGTGACCTTTACTATCTACAAGATAATTAAATGATTTACCTTGATTGTTATCATTAACCAATAAGCAAATCAAAATCCTAATGAATCAATTAAGGTCTAGTTAAATGTTTTGTAACTAATCAAGATATACAATTAAACAAATCTGTTAACAGAAAGTAATTAATTAACTGATGGCGTTGATTAATGGTCACAATTTAGATTAAGATTAACAATCAGACAAACAATTTATCCTCCTAAGTGTCAATTTAAATTGTTCAAAAACCAAACAAAGTTTTTCCAAGTTTTAATTTTGCCAAGAAAACTGATCAATAGGAATCGATTAACTTTTTTAATTGTTGCTAATTGTGTTTCTTAATTACTTTTTGTGTCTTTCTCTAGGTGTTTGTAGTCCAGGAGCCGCTCCATCAGTGTCATCAATTAATCGTATCCTTCGTAATCGAGCCTCTCAACGAGCTTTAGCCGAGTTCACTCGTAATTATCAATTAGCAGCGGCATCAGTTGCCCACTACCCGATGACCCCACCTCATCCAGTTCCTCCTTATCCAGGTAAGAATATAATAGGATTGATAGAGTTACGAAACAATTTACTAATTGTGACTTTGTTGTTGTCTTTTCCAGCGGGAGTTAATGCCTCAAACCCAAGCACAATTTACGCTCTTGCAGCGGCGGCCAGCGCCATGTTAGGGTCGCAACCTTCACCTCAAATGGGTCCACCTTTTTGGCAGCCGATGGGTTTACCCAATTCAAATATGATGCATCCATCAATCCAAATGAGGGATGGAGATGGTGATCCTGGTAAAGATCAAGGTGAGAGCCGAGAGAAAGTTCATTTTCATTGAGAAAGTTGATGATGAGTTGGATTTTTTTTTCAATTCGAATTCGAAAATTTAACTTTTTTTTTCATGTTTTCGATTTCATCTTTTAGATATCAAAGATTCTGATGATAAGGAAGATAAATGTGGAAGTGGAATGAACAGTGAAAGTTCATCACCAAATCTCAGTTCAATGACGAATCCAAGTCAACCTAGTCTCGGCTTTGAGCACTTAACATTCAGTTCCGCTTCAGATTCTGCAGCCAAATTCCGTCGGAATCGAACAACATTTTCACAAGATCAATTGGAGGTATTGGAACAAGAATTTGAGAAAACCCATTACCCATGTGTATCTACACGTGAACGACTCGCCCAACGAACAAACCTCTCAGAAGCTCGAGTTCAGGTAAGTGTCACAAATATTAATAGAAACAAAGTAAACAAACAAACTTATCCAATGGTCATCAAAACAACAAGAGAACAAAAAAATCAGACAGAAATCAACAAATACCCTAATCATCGACATGATCACTATGTAATCATCATCAGAGTCTCTCAATTGATAACAATTGACAAAACAATCAGTAATCAGATAGCAAATGATTATAACTATTAACATATTTACCTGTTCAAATCACAGGTAAATATTAGATATTATCATCATTACAATTTCTGATAATATCTTACTTTAACTTCCCGGAAGTGTTATTATTGATACAATTGTTACTTTTAATCATGGCTGAATGAAGGTGTTTTCATGGTCAACAAATTGTTTACCTGTCCAGTTAAATGAACCTTGAAAAATTCAATGAAAAGCTTTCAATTATCATTATTCAACCATTGTAAATATACAACAACAATATCGAGAGCTGATAAAATATCATCATGATTAACCATTTACATTTATATTTCAATTACAGTTACTCAGGTAAAAATCAGAATGAAACCTCATCATCATCATCATCATCAAATTGATATAATATGTTACAGAACAATAATATTATAAACCAACTGATATCACCTACCAAGTTTTCATCATTATGATAATCATTAAATTCAGAATTTTTTTTCTCAGCTTAAAGCCTTAGTGGTCAGTTGAATACAAGAAAAAACTATTTACCAACCACCCCCTACCAGTGGGTCCATCATCATCATCATCATTATCATCATTTACCCACTGGTTGATTACTTTATTATAATTTTACAACTTGAATGATTTGTTAATTTTGATTGATCCAGTTGTACCCTGAGAAACAACTGAATTAATGATGTTAATTCATTTCCAATACAAATCAATTGATAAGTTAACAAGGCGAAACAAAGTATTGATAGACATTTGATCAACAGTTATCAACAGTTAATTAACTGGGCAACGGTCAAAGTTAATCAAACCTACGCCCTAAGAAAAGGTTGATGATTAAATCAAATTGTTTCTTATATTATAATAAATGATTGGGAATGAAAAAAAATAACATTTTAACTAATCAAAATAAAGGTTTCCAATTGTAAACACAGTTAGAGTTATATAATCATCATTATCGTTGATTGTTGTTGTTGTTGTGTGTTGATTAACAAATATAATACATCAGTTGATAGTTTACATTACCAGCATTTAACCATCAACACCTTATTAATGTTAAATTGATGTGCCAATCAATAAATCATCATATTAATTTACATGATGAAATCCAATGAGAATCTCAATGAATTTCTGAATTTTCAAAGCGATTTTTTTTCCTTCTGTTACTGTTTAACCTTCAAGTTGGAAGATTTTTTTTTTCTTGACCAGTTAACAATTAGGTGTAAATTTTACTGATGGTGATGATGATGGTTATAATTGTAAGAATCAAGTTAATTGTTTGGTAGCAATTTAAATTAATAACTACTACTCCTTGTTTCCTTTCTCGTTGTTGTTGGTTCTCACTGGTCATTTCTCATTGACCTTCTTGTTGTTTTCACTACTTTACAAACTAATCACCATCATCATCATCATCATTATCATCATCTACCTTGTTACTGTGGTCATCAACATCACTGTTAATCACACAGTTAGTTGTTCAATTGTCCATCATCATCATCATTGTCCATCATTCTTGTGATTCTCATCATCAGGTAAACTTAATTGTAGGAGAGAAAAGTTTTCATACTCTTTGATTAAATTATCATCATTCACTTATATCGTAATTATCATTACCTATCAGTTACAATTTACTGGGTAATTGTTTCAACGTGTTGAATTGACAATTTTTCCAACACAAAACAATCAATATAAATTGTTGTAGTGTATTTGTGTGTGTATATATATTATTACAATTAGTTAATTTACTTATTATAGATATTTAATCATCTTAAAATTTTGTTTTTTTCTCTCAATTGTAATTCTAATACGGTTAATGATTAGTTTATTATCACGATTGGACAATGAAACAATTGATGAACTTACACCAAAAAGTTGATTAGTTAAAAGTTGATGTGATCAGTTAATGGTATTAGATGATCAGGTAGATAAAGAGATGATGATAGTTAACAATTTAACTAATGATTAGCGGCTAAAATATTATTTCTTATATGATTTAATTCACAAGAAAAACAGAAAATCATTATCAGAATGAAAAGAGAAGCAAAAATAAAAACAGAAAGTTAACAAATCGTAATGATGATAATAAAACGATAATAATAATAATCATAATGATGATGTTCATGTATGATGATAATGATGATGATGATTAGGACTTTGTCTCTCTCTCTCTCTCTCTTTATTATCAACTGGATCGCGTCCAGGGTACACTCGAAGTAACCTTTTTATGGTCACGAACTGGGTGCTTAATGATAATGGTTTATAATAGTAATCAAATGGGTGATTAGTAACAATCAAGAAAAAGAAAAACAATTTCCATCTTAATTCATTTCTCTAGATTTCCGATTCCGGATCTTTTATCATCATCTTATCATCATCATTAACTTACTATTATTATTATCATTTAAATTGTTGATGATAATGATGATGATATGCCTACAATCATCATCATCGACTTGATTCTTGATTGTTGATTCTGAAGAATCAACTTTTCATTGGAAGAGAGAAAAAGTTTTTCTTTTTCTATTCCAAAGTTCTGAGATTCATTAGTTACTCAGGAAGAGATTATTTTCCATCATCATCATCATCATCATCTTTCTATATTCATTCTTATATATTTTTCTTTGATTTATCGTTCCAATGATTTTCTTATTCCTATTGAACTTTTCTCTCTCATTTGATATTCGATATATTATCAATCAATTGGATCTAATCAGTTGATTTACTAATCACGATTGGACAATAAAAGTTAATATCCTTTAGTTAATCACTTTTGATTAGGTGTTCACAGAGTGTTGTCTTCCTTTAATTTAGTTAATCGTTTTGACAATTAACTTGACAATTAACTTGTAGCTTTATATAGATTGTAAAAGTTGTTGAAGAAGTGAAAAAAAAATTAACTAATTATTATTATAAATGAATATTTTTCATTCAAATTAACATATTTATCTTAATAATAATCAACAACAATTAATTTGTTTAATTTAATTTAGTTTCTCAATCGTAATCATCATCAGTTAGTGTTTACATTTAAATTGTGATGATTATTGAAAATTATAGTTAGTTAATTGATAGGAAAACAAAACCTAAATCAATATCAATTGATATTCATATATATTGATTGAAGTTAATTACTTTTTTTTTATTGAACTGAATTGAATTTAATTTTAAATTTGATAGATTAACTTTTTCAAATCTAATCTATAACAATCAATGAGAGGATAAGTTAAAGTAAATTTAGATTAATTGTTGATCTGATCAGACTTTTAATCATTCATGTGAATGTAAAAAAAAGTTAATTGTAGCTTAATCAATGTGTATACAAATATATATATTATATAATATTGAGTATTGTTAATTGTAGGATTATAATTAGTTGAATCATAATTTAATATTATTATTAGTTACACTTACCGGTTTAATCATGATAACCTGATTATTTGTTCAACCTCTTTGATACAAGTTGATTTAGTTAAAGTTAATCAATGACAATCAATAAATCAATCATAAAGTGATCACCTTTAAACCAATTGACCATTAAATAAGTGATTTAGTTAATGATTGATGATTATAATGTTAACTTGTATTTTATTATTTTCGATGATTAAAGGTTTGGTTTAGTAATCGAAGGGCAAAATGGCGTCGACATCAACGAATGTCCAATTCTGGTAATTCGAGGTATTCATCTTATAATGAATCGCGAGATTCAGGATCACCAGGTATGGATATGATGTCCGGTGATGGGTCAAGAGATTCATTTGCCACAAATGTATCATCAGAACCACCCCACTCTGATGGAAGTGTCAACTCAACCCACCATCACCCGAACAATAAAACCACCGCCAGTAATAATAATCACAACAATCACCATCATAATCATCGTCATCGTCGCTCATCATCATCTCATGATGAGGATATTGATGAAGATGAAGACGATGAAGATATTGATAATCATCATGCACACAATCATCACCACCAACAACCACCACAATCTCAACAACAACAACAACAACAACAACAATCTCCACCTTCACCATCAGTTAATGAACTTTTATCAGGAAACCGAATCAACAACCGAACCAGTTCATCCTCATCCTCACGATCACCATCCCCACAATCAACACCACCAAAGGTTTCAATAGCATCCACTAGTCTCATCATCGGCAGCGTTGATTCAGCTTTTAAAAAGGTCAACTCAAAATGACCACAACAAAACAATTGATCCAAATTTAGGTTAATCAATATTTATCCTTCTCATCAAAATCAATCAATCAACAAACACACACACACATAAACCAACTAATTGTTATCGAAATGATTAAACAATTAATCAACCCTTTATTCATACGGATTAATCATTAATCTTGACAATTAACTTGTCAAGTGATTATCTTTAAATTTACTTAACTTAATCAGCCAACAAACTAGGAAATCACAATTAACTAAATCTCATCCCAATGATTACGATTCCAATTCCAATTACTTTGTATCTCATATTTTATCCCACAATTTAGTTTAAAATGTTAATCTCACCCACACACAACAATCAATTCAATGGAAACTTTTACAAATTATCATTGAGAACAATTAATTTAATTATAATAATTTAAATTGTAACAAAAAATCATTAACCTGTAATTTCACATCATTTCACCTTAACCTCCATTTTGTTTGATCACAATTTCTTAATCACAATCCAACAACAACATTAACCAAAACTATTTTAATCAGCTTGCGATATAAACACTCCCAACAATTAAAACTAATTGTTCACCTCAAATTGGAAACAATTAACTCTCTCTCCCTCTTAATCAGTGTCATCATGAACAATTTAAATTGATACCAATTAATAAAAAAAAACAATGACAACGACAACAAATTTTTATCCATTTATTGATTAACCATTAACACTTTGACAATCAAAGTGAAATACAATTAACTAATTATTGTTTACCAAGATGAATTAATGATCATTCTTGATTGTCATACTATTGCGTGCTATTGATTAATCACAATTTAAGAAGCTAAATTGATAAGGTTTCAATTTTTTACTTCTCTCCACCGGATTAAAGGTTTACTTTTACTCCTTCATGATTAACTAAATTACTGTTAACTGAATTGGGAAGCCTGATCAATGATTACTTTGATTGTTACCTTGTTTAAAAGTCATTGTAACTTTTTCATCTCAATCATCAACAATCAATAGTAATCAGTTAGTTTTGATTAAACAATTAACTTAACTTTTTGTGTGCTCGTTTGTGTTGTAGTTTTTTTTTAATTTTGTTTCAACGTTCCAATTGAGATCAGACAATTGATTTAATTTTATGTTAATCCAATTATAGAAAGTTAATTATAACTGCTTGGTAATATAATGGTTAAGGTAAATTCTGTGATCATTGTTAATTAGATTGTCAACTAATCAAGTGTTTGTTAATTGTTCCAGAATAAACCTCAGGATGTTTTAGATCTTGAAAATGAATTACAACAAATCATGACAGATCTAAGGGTAAGTGTGATTAAAGTTGATTGTGATTTAGAATCATTTCTGTTTTTCTTACTAATCAAATTGTCTTCCAAACAATTAAGGCTAATCAAAAGTCTGTTCGAGATAAACAATTAGAGGAAATTTGTGGTGACATGTCACCAGTGATTTCGGTCAAATTGAACTTTCGTCGAGCCTTAAAAGGTCACTTACAAAAAGTAAATGCGATTCATTTTTCCGGAGATAGTAGGTAAGCCTAATTGTTAATCTAATTGTTGATCCAACAATTAATCATTTACCTTTGATTTGTATGTATTTCGCACCAATTTAACTCTAGGCATCTTGTCTCAGCAGCTCTTGAAAGTAAACTTATCATTTGGGATACGATCACAGGGAATAAGGTAATTAACTTGATTGTTGGGAGGAAATTGAGTTTTGATTAATTTTCATTTTTCCATTGGATCGAAAGACCAAAATTATTGGACTTCGGTCAAGCTGGACAATGACCTGTGCGTTTGCAACCTCGGGTAATATGGTCGCTTGTGGAGGTATGGACAATATGTGTTCGGTTTACGATCTAAATAAACGCGATTGTGATAATACTGGTGCTAAATTGGTTCGAGAACTGGCCGGATTCGATGGGTTCTTATCGTGTTGTCGATTCGTTGATGATAATAATCTAATAACAGGATCAGCTGATAAGAAAATGTAAGTTTGACCAATGGTCACCGATGGTATACAATCAAATATAATCAATCAATTGTAGTTAAATAATATTATAATCAAAGTAATGATATTAATAGTCATATGAAATAATAATAAGTATATAAAAAAAACAACAGTATTGCCAGGACAAAATTGGCAACAATTGACTGGTGTGTTTTTTTTTGTTGTTGTTGTAAACAATTAACAAATTTTATCCAATTGCCTAAAATTGATTTGATTGGAGTTTGTGAGTGTTTGATCATCATCATGATAGTTAATCAATTGTTGTTTGGTAATATTGTCCTTCCGTCATGTTTTATATCATTTGATTTCTTTGAGTTAATTTATCAGATTTACATTTTGATTATTATATTTATCCAATACTAATCAACTTGATTTAATTGTTTGTTTCTTTAATTCTTTACTTTTGATGGGTTACTTTCTCTTCCAGAGTCCTATGGGATATTGAGACTGGATCAAAGGTGAAAGAGTTTAGAGGTCACACTGGTGATGTCATTTCTTGTGCCATTTCTCATGATTCATCGAATCTGATCACTGGATCGGTTGATAAAACTGCTAAGGTTTGTACTTTGTCTCAATGGTTCGAAATGTCCGACAAAAGTGTTCATCGAAACAAGAAAACAAGAAGCATGTTATATATTTACAATGTCCATTGGTTTGGACTGTGGTCAGTTTGTTTTACAGGAAAGATGAAACTGCCATTTCTAATCATCAGATATCTTTGATAAATATAAATAATTCTGTAATTATATCGGAAGGAATAACTTTTTCTTTTGTCTCTTTCAAATTTCTTGATGATTTTTCAGCTCTGGGACTTGAGGACCGATAAACCCGTTCAGACGTTTTTTGGCCATGAAGCTGATGTAACTTCTGTCAATGTAATTAGCCCATTTTCTTTAAATTGATTGATTTGATTACTTTTTCTTTGTTTGTTAACTTTTGATGATTCGGCTCATGGATAATACATAATAATCAATTGTGATATATTGGATTTGTTAATTTCTTTTCTTGGATAAATTTGATTGGATTCTTTCCGTTTTCTTTTTCTTTTTGTCTTCTAGTTTCATCGAAGTGACTTTGTTTTCAGTACAGGATCAGAGGATCGAACTTGTCGACTTTTCGATATTCGAAGTGACCAAGAGATAACAGCTTATAAATCACCAAATTCACGAAGTGGTTTCACTTCATGTGCTCTCTCCTTATCTGGACGTATTCTGTTGGCAGGATCAGATGATTCAACAATTCATATGTGGGATATACTTAAATCAAAACACGCAGGTAAATCCATGTTAATTAAATAGTTATAACGGTAATTTAAACTCAATAGATAATCTAATATATAATAATATTATTTTTTCATAATATAACGGTACATCTCTGGAACAGGAAACCTTTCTGGCCACGAATCGAGAGTATCAACAATATCTTTAACACCGGATGGAATGGCCTTGGCTTCTGGTTCCTGGGATACAACCATAAGAGTTTGGGTTTAATTTCTAAGGCTTCGTCTTATATATAAGTTGAACATATTGAGAAGATAACGATGATGATGATGATGATGATGAGATTTGGAAAATGATGAACAGGAAAATTGGAGCATCAAGAAGACACAATCTTTTGTTTTGTCATTAGAAGATAATTTCCGATTGTAAACGAAAAACAAAGTTATATATATCAACGAATAATATAATGTAAACCTTATCCAATTTCCGTCCATTGGTGTAAAAAAGTTGATGATGAAGAAATACTTTCAAGTCCAACGAAAAAAAAAGAACAACGGAATCGTAAAAAATAAAAATGTAGAAAGAGACACGAGAATAATGGCCAATGGTCTTTCGTTTTCGATCTCAGGTCTTCCGTTTTTTTCTATTTTGTCCGGAAAATGTCGTCAATTCTCATGTGTGTGTACGTTTTGATGTCGTTTTTAGATGAGTTTTGGTTGATAACAATTGTTGAGGTGAAACGGATAAAAGAAGATGAAGAGAAAAGTTCGAGAAAAGTTCAAGGAATGGTGGAAACAACGTAATCTTAATTAGGGCCCGAATTATTAAGAATTATTATTTTCATCACTTTGGATTCATCATAGTAGATGGAAGGTCTCCGCTTGCGTACTTTATGTTGGTATACTCACGACCCGCGATGAGACTTCGCTGTTAACGGAAGGGGAAAAAGAAGAAATAAAAATAGGTAAATAGTAAAGAATAAAGAAAACAGCGGAAATTATCAAGATTTAGAATGAAAATTCTTTTCTTTTCTTCCAAAGTAGAAATGAATATTTTGTGTATAAAATAAAAGCATTTAGAGAGAAAGAGAGAGAGGAAAAGTTCATGCAAGGGATAAGGATTAGAATTTAAAAGATTGAGATTAACGAATGAAAGATTAAAATGAACAGGGATGATAATGGTGAGAAGGTGAGTAGCGATTAAAAAAATAAATCGAAAGTATTTGAAACTATCAGGTATGCGTTTGTTGTGTCAGTGCGAAAGGAGGAGAAGTGAATCTTAATGGAGGAGGTGGTGTGGTGGTGGTGAGGACATGGTGGAGGTTGGAATTGGTGGTTTGCTCGTTTGCAAAGATTAGAGTTAAAAAGCTTTCGGGATTCAGAGGCTTGTTCCTTGTACCTGTTTGGCCAGTAAACGCTGTTGTAAAGTTTCAATATAATGTTCAACGGCCAGATAAACGAACTGGTATTGAGCTTCCGTTTGTACAAGTCCTGATCTTTGAGATCGCACCATTTGAATTGTTCTTGGAATATCAATCTCACAATCCAATCCTTGTCTCTTAATTTGATCAATAATCATATCGATAACAATAAAAGTTCCAGTTCTACCGATTCCAGCACTAGAATATTATTTTTTAGAAAAAAAAGTAAATAGAAAAGTTTAGTAAGTTAATAATATTAAGTAATTAGTTTTTGTATCAACTGTTGTCAAGATAATTAATCTTCATGTGTGTTAATTGATAGATAATCAGTTTTGGCTAACTCTTTTTGGTGATACTTATTTAGTTTTAAAGTAAAACAAGAATTGATTGTAAATTTAGTGAACTGAGTATTACCTGCAATGAACAATTATCGGTCCAGCTCCTTCAATAGATTCTTGTCTAACATTTACTTCGTGTAGGAAATTAAGCACACAACCAGGGTAAGTAGGAACACCATGATCAGGCCACGCAGTGAATTGATATTGATAAACAGTACGAGTTTCCGTTTCACTTTCGTTACTAACTTCCAATTCTCTTAAAATATAATCTTTGGGCGGTTTTTCTGATAAGCATTTAACCTTAATCTTACCATAATCTTTACTTTGACCTTCATGGGGCCAATAACGAGCACATTTATTCTAAAGAGGAAAAAGAGAGAGAGAGAGAAATTGAAGAAAATTAATATTGAAGGTAATAGATTAGGGATAATGAGAGAGGAAAAATTTTGTACACAGATGATGAAGGAGAAAGAGAGAGAGATGCGTATATGAGCAGGAAAAAAGAGGCAAATGTATCGGTAAAGCGAAAGTGATCATAAATCATTGATGCAAATGCGAAAAACTATAAAATATAAAAGGAACCGAAAATTGAGTTTTACCGTGAAAATGCAAAAGATGCTGATATGCATCTCTTTCTACAAGATTTTGCAATTCAAGAGGTTTTCTTATTATTTTTATCTGATTTACATTTGCATTTGCTCATGAGAGGCGATATCTGGGATAGCGGAAAGCTCACTTTGCAAAGAAATGATGATGAATGATAAGGGAAGAGAGAGAGAGAGAGAGAGGGAAAAAGGAGCTTGTGAAAAGCATGAAATGATTATGCAAGAAAGAAAATGGATGATAAACGATCCAACGATCGACTACCTTGGATCTTTCTACTTCTTTCGTGGTCATTACAATAACACGAGAATTTTCTTGCCACAACATTCGCCAAAAATCATCTACAGAATTCGATAAAGGTCCTTGGGTGGCAATATAAGTTTTCGTTGACAAAGAGCCAGTACCTTCATCTTCAGGCTGCAAAAAAAGAACGATGAAAATACAATTTAAAAGGTAATTAGTTTAAATTACAGGTTCAAGGGTTAGAAAATGTGATACCTTGATTATATTTGCATTGATGTAATCAGATCCAATTGAGGTATCACCATCTCTTAAAATGACACGAGTATAATCAACTGATGAAGGAAAGAAGAAAAAAAAAGTTAATCAGCAAATTGATGAGGTTTTTTTTCTGCTTCAAGTATTGAAATTTACTATACACATAAATCAAATCAAGTAATTTGGTTAATTAGCAGAAAATGGATATTAACTTACAAGGTAGAATATTTTTGTAACGATTTTTGGCTCTATTTTCCGGCCTTTGACCTTCTTTCCTTGAATATAAATGTTTGCACTCTTGTTGCTGTAAATACTATAAACGGAAAGAGAAACAATTAGAATCTGATTGTTTTAAAAGGCCAATTTAAACTTACCTCGAATTCCTCCCAAAAACCGGCCTTCCCGTTATTTTGAGCATTCTCCTTGGATAATACCTTAACTCGACTCTCGATGGTCGAAGCGGTGATTTTGGTCGCGTTAAAGGGTTGCTTTAGGTGTACCACTGTCCCGGAAGTCTCGACCATTGGATTTTTCTTATAATATTCAATTAATTCTGATAGACTATCAAATTGTTCACCACCGCCGACATCATATTTACCATCTTGAAATCTAATTATAACATGAGTAACTTTATCATCGGTTCGCACCGACAAAACATAATCACCAGGTTTACTCATTGATTCACGAACAAGAAAACTACCATTTTTACCTTTATCAAGTAAAAGCTTTTCAGCTTCCTTTCCTGATAAAGCTCCATGAAACCATCGTTCACTTGTTGGATCAGATGAATTTAATGGATATTTCAGCTCAATATTGGAACCATTTTTCTCTTTCAATTGTCCTTGATTTTCAATGTAGAAAACAACTAATTCGGCTAATGTGGCAAACTTTTCTCCACCATAAAGATCATAATAATCACCAGTGTTTTGAATTTTAATATGTGTCACTTGACCATTTCTCCTAAAATTGATTAAACACAGAGAGAAAATTACACAAGTTAATTACACTGAACAAGAAGACAAAAGAAAACATTTCAAAAGAGAATAGAATTCAAACTCCGAACAACCAAAGCAAAAAAGAGAATAAAAACTAAACAATAAAAGAAAAGAACAGAATAAAAATGATACAAGGGATAGAAAGAAAAAGTGATTGAGGTGATGACATTTTGCATTTTAGAAAATCAGTTAGTGTTAGTTAATTGGTCGTTTAATTGGTGTGACAATTTACCTTACTGATAATGTAAAATCCCCTGGATTTGATTTACTCGGACGGACCAAGAAACTGCCATCTGAACCTCTTTCCATGAGCATCTTTTCAGCCTCAGGGCCGGTGATGTTTGGGTGAAACCAACGCCCGATCCTCTTGCTACCAGTGATCGAAGATCGCCAAAGGTCAGTTTCTAATGGTTGTAGATTAGCTTGGAAACTGTGCACATTGGTTAGTTTTTCCATTGGCCACAAAAGTGTAACGATAAACAAAAAGTAAACAGTCAACAATCAAGTGAAGAGTAACAAAATCAACTCAACGAATCATTTGATAATAATAAACATCACAATTTTTTTCTTCCATTTAGTTCAAAAGTTCACCAACAGATGGAACTTTTTTTTCTCCAATTGGAATAATTTTTTTTTCATTTTTCTAATTGTTGACGAAAATTTGTTAATTTCTTGGTTATTTAATTGTCTTTAGAGGTTGGATTTTTATTCTAATTAAAAAAGAAAAGTAAATAGAGTTAACTTATTGCAGAGTTAAATTTAATTCTCCAGATTTTTCTCACTCTCTGAATTGAATTTACAGATTACTTTTTTTAGTTCTTGTGAATACTTTATACAATTAACCTTAAGAGAATTAATATTTTTCATTATTAATTAATTGTATATATTACGATTTGTGTGTGTGTGTGTATGTTTTGTATGTATGTATATTATTCGTGTTTTAACCGAGACCAAATATCCGATTTTCTTTTAATTTCTCCCTAATGGATTTAAAAAGATGAATGAATTAAATTAAATCTTTTGAAAGAGAGAGAAAGAGTTCTGAGAGTGAATTAAAAAGTTAATTAAGCTTGTCCTGATAATTGTGGTTCTCCCTTTTTTGACCATCCAGCTAGAAGTTTCTTTAATTCGCCGATTGCTTGTCCTGGATTTAAATTCTTTGGACATGTTCGTGAACAGTTCATAATTGTGTGACATCGATAAACTGAGAATGGATCTCTAAGTTTATCTAATCGTTTCTCTGTTGATTCATCTCTCGAATCGATTATCCAACGATAGGCTTGCATGAGAACAGCGGGTCCAAGGTAACGGTCACTATTCCACCAATAACTTGGACATGAGGTTGAACAACAGGCGCACAATATACACTCATAAAGTCCATCAAGTTTCTTACGATCATCGATACTTTGTAAATTTTGTTTCTTTCCAAAACCAGATTCATCCTTTTTCTGTAACCAGGGTTGAATTGATCGATACTGTTCATAGAAATGATTCATATCTGGAACCAGATCTTTGACCACATACATGTGAGGTAAAGGATAGATTTTCATTGGTTTATCAAGATTGGAGTCGATTTTACTGAGAATAGGAAAAGAAAAATGGAATAAAATTATTAGAATTTGAATCAATCGTAATGTAGATAGAGAGTATCAAGTAAATTCATTGAGTATTAAGCCTTTCCCTGCTTTCTCTTGATTCTTGGAATAAAAGATTATCCGGATAAGAAGAAAAGAATCTCTTGATATCATGATCCAATTTCTAGATGAATCATGACCTTGAGCAAATACATGGAATAGAGAGTTTCATTTCGAGGGCAATTTAATAGAGTCTACCTGATGCAAGCAAGTGTATTACCACCTCCGATATTCATAGCACAGGAACCACAGATACCTAAATAATTAGAAAATGAATTAGGTAATTAGCTTGTTATAGAAGAAAAAAAGTGAAAGATAGAATGGAAATAAAATAAAAGAGAATAATCAAAATAGAATAGAAAATGAATGTAAACAAAAACAAACCTTCTCGACAAGAGCGTCTGAAAGTCAAGGTTGGATCCAATTCATTTTTGATTTTAATGAGAGCATCAAGTACCATAGGTCCACAAGAATTTAAGTCAACATCATATGTTTGCATGTAAGGTTTAACTTCAGGAGTTTCAGGATTCCAACGATAAACCATGAACTTTTTAATCTTCACATCAACTGAATCTTCAGTTGATTCCTTTACAGCAGCAGCAGCCGAAGCAGCTTGATTATTAGCTGTGTTGGTGATTCTCTGACCCTAATAGATATCATATTCATAAGATAAGAGGAAAATAAACAAAATAAATGAAGATAAAAAATAAATACAATCAATGTAATCAATCAATCAATCAATCAAATTGGTGATGAGAAAAATTAAAACGCAGAAAAAAAAACTTAGGCCTTACCGGTAGATGAGAAGATGAAGTAAGAGAGAGGAATTGTTTTCCATTTTTAACAATTAATCGGTTCATTGTTAGACTCATCATGTAAATCAACTGATGAAAGAAACAAAATTAAAATTCAATTTAAATTAATTAAAACACAAAATGAATATTAATCTAAATCAACAAGAGAATCAAATTGTTCTCAATTAGCTAAACCTTTTTGTCAAGAACAAAATTTTTCCATATGATCATTTCCAAGGGACCGTCACTTGAGATCAAAGAGATTCGTTTGTTATTGTTTTTGTTTTTAATTCTCTTGCGAAAAAAAGTTAATTTAATTGTTTCTCTTGTTAATTTAATTTCTATTTTCATGCCAGTGGTTAATTAAAGTGTACCAAATATTATGGAGTAAATAGATTGGAGGTAATTGTTGAATCTCTTGATTGTTGATCATCTTAAAAACCTTTTGGAAATGTCAATCATTGATAATATCTAAATGTTATCAAGATGGAAACACTTATTATTATGATTTTCTGATTACTGTGACAATTAATTGCTGATTAATTTACCAGACTAGGGGCCAGACAGTTTACTAATTGTATTACATAATTAATTCAATATCTGGTTCGCTAATAATGAGCTGGTTTTTTAGTAAGTATTTTATCATAAAGTATAACAATTGACAATTGGAATTGGAATTGGACAATTTTCGTTTCAATTCAATTTGATTTTAACTATTGTTCTGTAAAATTGATTATTATAAGTTAATTATATTGATGAAGATGGCTGATTGGTAAATCTTTTCATATTTTTTTTCATTTTCTAAATTCAGGTTACTCATGATGACAGTTCATGTACTTTGATTCATTTTGGTTCTTGGAGAGGGATCGACATTTTCGGGTCATTGAAATGTGGCCTTACATGATTCGAGTCAATCCTTTTGGATTTATTGTAATTCTGTTCTTATTCATTTGCATTTATTTAATTTATTTATCATCATCAATAACCAATGAGGTTCTTTATCATAGTAAGGCAAGAAAACGAGAACCAAATCTACCAGTTTCCCTTGGGTATGTTTAACCTAAAAGAATCACAATTAATGTATTTACTAAATTGTTCTTATTCCTAATCAATTATAGAGGACAATCTATTGATCTGAAGACTCTTCTGGTGACATTAATCAAAGCAGCGGAAAGAGGGGGCAAAGAAGTGGTCGGAGTGATGAAGAACCGAGAATTACATAGTCGATCTAAATCAAAGGACGAGAATGGGAAAGATGAATTATTAACCGAAGGAGATTTACGTTCCCACCAAATGATGGTTCTTCAAGTATCGGCTAAATTTCCTGGCCTACGAATCATTTCAGAAGAAAAAGATAGCCCCGAGGGCGAAGGATTTTTCTTGCCTTTCGGTGAACTTCAAGATGTACTTTATGCGGACGATGTTCACAATCTACCAAGTTCCATGGTCTCTATGGAAGATCTGGTTGTTTGGATTGATCCATTAGACGCAACCCAAGAATACTCAGAGAATCTGACCCAATATGTCACAACAATGGCCTGTGTTGCGGTGAAAGGTGTTGCCACCATAGGAATTATCCACGAACCTTTCAGCCAGGAAACTTATTGGGCTTGGAAAGACACCGGACTCTCCGAATCTATCGAAGACTTAATTTTAAATGTTCCAACTCCAATGAAGAGTGAAAGTGAATCAAAGTTACGATTCATTGTATCTCGTTCACATACTGGAGATATAAAATCAAATTTAGCCAAAATGTACAAAAACGATGATAAAAGTTACGATGTGAAAAGTGCCGGTGGTTCGGGTTACAAGACACTCCAGTTAATCAAGGGTTTCGCCGATGCTTATGTTCACAGTACATCGATCAAGAAGTGGGACATTTGCGCTCCAAATGCTTTACTCAATTCAATTCCAAATGGTATCATGACCGATCTTAAGGGAAATTCAATCGATTACAACGATACCGGTGATGTTTACAATAGAAACGGTCTTATAGCAACTCTGAAAATGAATCATGAAAAAATCCTGAAACTTTTCAGTGATTTAATTTCTCATTCACACTCGAAATAAATCTAGTCACAATAGTAGATTAGATTATATGAAAACGATTTTCAAGCAATCATCTTTTTTACTAATCAATTTCGTATTCGACTTTTACATTTAAATGGATAATTGAAAACGATCAAATGATTTGGGAACTTTTTTTGTAAAATTTTCGTCCGTTTTTCTTCCCATCAATTATTGTATTAATAGTTGAAAAGGTTAACAAAGTGATTAGAATGTGGCTTAATCCGATGGATTATCTGTGCGATCATCTCTCCCACTCTCCTCTGGCTCCGTTTCAAGGGAGGAAATACTTGCTGCAGCAGAAATTGGCTTGAAGTTCTGGTGATCATATTCATCTCTATTTGATTCATAATCATCAAGACTTGAGGATTTCAATGGCTTGGAAAAGTCAACCGCTCGTAACTCATTTGGATTTGCTTTTGGATATGACCAGGGGGCAACTCTAACCATGTGTGGGCCATAATATCTTGGAGCTGAAAGATCAATAAATCAATAATTCAATATACATAATATTAATACATAAATGCTACAATGTAAGTGTGAAGATCAACAAGGAAAAGAAAGAAAATTAAACATTCGAAACCTTTGAAAGAACTTAAATTAAATTGAATTGAAAGAAACCTAACTAATCATTCAATTAAGTTGTGGTTTTGATTGTGATAATATTTAAATCATATTTATATCATATTCAATGTAAAGGAGGTAAAAAAGGTAAAAAATTAATAACAAATTGATAGTTTAAAAAATGATAAAGTTTCAATATTCTTACCAATCCGCGATAATAGTACATCTTTGATAGCATTTTGAGAAGTAAAAGAAAAGCATAATAGTTTAATTAGTTGAATAGATAATTAGAATTGATTCTCGACTCGATGAACTTGTGAAACGAACCTGAAGCAGTCCACCATTTAGGTCCAGAATTCCAAGAGGTGTGAATCTGTTTTATTCCCGTTTCCTCCTCAGTGAAAATTTGATGGTAATATTTAATGGCCTTAATATATTAATAAAATTATTAATATTTAATAGCACATAAACGGAACACTATGAATGGTTCCTTGTATAGATCGAGTGAAAATCTGTCCAGAATTAGATCATTAACACACTGGGTGTAATAATATTCGTAACTCTTGGGATCGTAATCGATAAAAGTCTTGATTTTTTTCGGCAGGAAGGTTAACCTGAGCATGTATCGGAGTTTCTTAACTCTACGAAGTCGAATTACGATTTTGGAAACCAATTCTTTGGGGTCAAGAATGGAGATCATTTTTGGTTCGTACGCATTGTTATAAACTTCCGCACACAGAGCATAGCATTCTGGTGAGCGAAGGTCAAGCTTTTTCGTTAGGAAATTGACAAAGTTTTGTACAGTTATCGATCGACCGAATCTGCATATTTTGCCAAAATAATTTTGGTTACACCGATTTCCGTTTGAACTTTCAGTATATGGGGAATTGGAATCAGTTCATTGGCTGCATTTACCATTAGTAGTAAAAAGGGGGCGACAAAGTTTCCGGAAGCTGCAGTACCGACCACTTCCCAAACCGTACCGACCATTTCCGGTATTAAGGTGGTGATGTGGGTGGTGGTAACTTCCGGAAACACTCTTAACCTCCGGAAGTAAAGTTTTCTGGGTGAAATTTTTTGCTCTTTCTTTTATTAAACTATTAATAATTTTTTTTCTCCAATTCAAATGAAATGAATCTTATGGTTGCAAATGATTTTAATGGTGAAATTAAATTTATTTTTGCATAAAACTTATACAACTTTTTCAATTTGTTGAAATTTGCAATGATATTTTTAAATGGAACTTTTTGCAAAAAATTTTTTCAAAGTAAATGCATAATATTGCATATGCAAAAATAATCGAAACCATTAAATATTTGGATGACCAGCAAGTCTATTTATCTCTCTGATGAAATAGTCGCTGGATCTTTCCAATAATTTAATGGTTTCAATTATTTTTGCAGTACCTTCATTTTGTGTTTCCGAAGAAAAGTTTGCAAGAGTTACAATCTCCTCGTGGATACCGACCAAGTGCTCCATGATCCTCAGGTATTGGGCTTTTTGACGGCGGGAAATATCCTCATTCTCATCCATTGCAGCATCAGCAATTTCACCATTGTTGCGCACACGAGACTCGAGATCCTCGAGATTTCTGTTTATGATCTTTGTTAGCTTGAGCAAGAATGTTCAAAACAGAGTTCATATTGTTGAGCACAGAACTAATTGTCTCAAATTTATCCTGAGCGGATGAAGATGAAAAAAGAGATAAGTCACCGAGGGAGGAGGATGTAGATGGTGATGATGGTGGTGGTGGTGGTGATGGTTGATTCAAATCAAGGGTAAGGGTAACATTTCCATACTCTAAATTGTCAAAATAAAACACCCGAAACAATAAAAGAACTAATACAATCACAATTATCACCTACGTAAGCAAAAGAACCATCATAACTGTCTTTCTGACCTTTCATCACTTCCCTTTTATTCAAAAATTCGTTGAAAATACAGTTTATTATTTTCTACCGGAACTTCCGGTTATTAGAGTTGAAACAATTTCACCCGCAAAAACTTTACTTCCGGATGTTACAAGTGTTTCCGGAAGTTATCGCCACCCACATCATCACCTTAATACCGGAAATGGTCGGTACTGCAGCTTCCGGAAACACTTTCCCCCCTTTTTACTGCTACCATTTGAAACGGAAAGAAACCTTTAATGGTGATTCCATCGGCGAATCGAACTCGAGATGAATGTGCTTTAGCTTTTTTAGCGGCCGTTAGAATGGCCGATGAACGAGACGAATTAGACAAACCGTTAGTTTAACTGAGTCATCAGCCGAAATCATGTCCATCACTTGATCTCGAGGTAATTCAGAAACATCAAAACCATTGACTTTAAGTACTTTATCCTCGGACTGAGCGGATAACCAGCGGATTTTCCGAACCAAGAATAAATCCAAAGCCAATCTCAGGTTCTCTAACCAATTCGACCTCCCGAGGTTCGGGTTTTTGGCGTTTTCACTCATATCAGAAATTTTCAGGGAATCTGATTGAAGTAATATTGATTCACTTTATTAACTGTCACTTTTACTTTATTATTTTATACGAAGACTTTATCAATGCAAAATTAGTTGAAGGGGAATATCATTCCAACTAACTATAACATTAGTTTACATGGTATTTTATATTTATCTCCATCCTCATCTTCATCTTCATCGCTATTTTATTTTTAACTCGTCTCTGGTTAGAAGACGAGTAGTTGCCACCTATTCTATTTGCAAACATCTCCCCAGTCTTATGGTGACCATTCCACTGGTCAAGTCCAAATCTCGAGGGTTTTTGATTTATATATAGCAGTATGTTCTTAATGAAGAAATTGTGGTCAACGTTTTCCATATTAGATCTGTTCCTTGTTTTTTTATAAACGGTGAGCAGAAATAATTGTATCATAATAATGTAAATTTTTTCTGGCTCATTCGTCGATTATGAGGCTGTTTTTCGTTCACTTCTGGTCGTTCATCTCGCTTATTGTGATCTGATTTGAGGTTGAGGAAAATTGGATTCATTGATCAGCTTTTCAGTTTTATTCTCAGATTTACATTGTCGCTCAGGTTTGATTGTTCGATTGAGGGTTGATCATTTGTGTTGATTGAGTAGACGAGAAAATTGATATGTTTTAGATCTTTAGGTGAATCATCGTTGAGGATTTAATTTTCATGCGATGAGTGATTGCCATTCGTGATGGCAAAACTAAATACAGTCAACTACCCAATTTTGTCCTACCCAAAATTGTCCGATCGATCGTGGCTCCATTTTCTTAATCGGAACTAGCCCTTCGTTGTCTTAATTAAATCTTATCGAATTGATTTTAAAAAAATCGAAATCAATATTTTTAGTTAAATTTCTGGTTATTTGAAAGATTTAATTAGTTTTAACCAGTAGGGGCGAAGCTACCCCCTCTGGCCCAAATCAACTTTGTCCCTTACCCCTTTTACCTTTCCTTTCTCTTTTTTCTCTCTTCTGACCTATTCCCTCCCCCTTTCTTAATTATGCTGATTTTCCTTTCTCTCTCCATTCCAACCTTATTTAAATTAATTGTTATATTTTAAGTCTAATTATCTTTCTCTCTCTCTCTTTAATCATTGAAGAATTTTGTTCATAATTATAAACAATCCCTCTTTCTTAATGATGAACAAGTTTTTTTAATTATCGAAGAGAGAGAAAGAGAGAAAGAGAAAAGAAGCTTGAAGAATATTAAACAAAATGTTTTTCTCTTTACCAAACAACATTCATTGATCATTTGATAAACAAAACATTTTTGTTTTTGATAAACAAAACACAAACAAGAAAATTTCTTTTATATATTGTTTTATATATTTGATTCATTTTGAATCAATATCAATATCAGTGTTTTGTCATTTGTGCATTGCTTTATGAATTTGTTTTACAACAATATATTAAATAAAATCTCAACGACAGCCACAACATACAACATACAACATACAACATACAACATACAACATACAACATACAACATACAACATACAACATACAACATACAACATACAACATACAACACACAACAGTAAGATTAGTATGTTTTTATCTCTCTCTTACTTGTAATAACAATTTCGGCCAGGTACTAAAACTGGTTTAGTACCTAACCAAACCACCTCATCTTTTTTAGTGATTTCAATAGGCTGTGTTAACATTCAATTTAACATAAACATTCATTTCTAGGAAAGAAATGTTTATGTTAAGATGATGGAGATAAACATGATGGAGATGATACGGATGAAGATGAAGAAGATAATGATGTTAATGATGAAAAAAGCTAATTTATGTAATCAGTTGTGCTTGGGATTTATCCCAATCAAGTTTAAGTTCAATAAAAAGTGAATTGTGCAACAAATGGTCCGTCGAGAACCGGATAAGAATTCATTCTCATCAATTCATAATAATTATTATTGTTTCAATTTAACTTAATTGTACTTTATGTAATTATCTCTGAGTGTCAAATAAATCGTTCAATCGATTGCAGGATAAAAGTGATCAATTGAAGTAAATTTACTTCCGTCCATCTTATCATCATCTCAAATTACAAAAGGATTGAAACATTGAATTACCCAACAGGTAAATAAAATTAATTTGAATATTTCATATCATTAACTTTATATAAACTTATTAATCAACAACAAATTACAAAACATCTGAATGATATAATTAACGTCAATTCAACGAGATTAATTTATCATCAAGTTTGTTTATCTATTTGAAATAAGTTAAACTAATTAAGTGATTTTTCCAAAGGAATTAATAACAAACCTAATAAATAATTTCGTGACTTAAATACAATCATTACTCTGTTACAAGTTTCAACAATAAGTTAACTATCATAACATCATCATGATATCTGTAAAAGAAAAGAGCTTCAGCCAATAATTTCACTGAATAATTCCAATCAGAATTTAACACAAAAATATGAATTCAAATTAATCACTTCCTTGGAAATAATAACCAATCAAAGCTGAAAAGGAATTAATTAATTAACTAAATTTAAACAAACAATTTAATCTTTATTAATTACAAATTAAACAAAACAATAAAATCATCATCATCATCAACATTTGATGTTGATCAACAGAAATTAATATTTTCAACCTGTTGTTGTGGTTAACCAACAGCAACAATAACAATAAATGTTTGGCAACAATACGTTAATTAATTGTTGGCTTTGAGCGAGAGAAATTAAATCGTAAAGAAAGAGAAAAGAAAAAGAAAAGAAAACAAGAGAAAGAGAATTTAAAATCCCTTTTGTTTTCTTTCTCTAAAACTTAATTTACATTACATCCCTACCCTCATGATTAAACGAAGGGGTTTGGAATGATAATTCAGGTTATATTTCTTGATATTGGCAGCAAATGTTTGGAGTGAATTTGTTCGAACTGGAATGCTGACTCCGAAATAGCGATATCATAAATGTTGGTAGCAATTTTCCTGATGACTCGGAAAGGTCCACAGCTATTTGGATCCAATTTCCTCTTATTGATTCCAGCTCTGTTTTTAATATAAACCAGCTCATTTTCAGAAAATTTATAATCATCATGTTTGTGATTATAAATATCAGCATTTGTTTTATGATTCTCAATTGAATTTTTGAAAGCTTGAGAACGGGCTTAAGCTAAATCAGGAAATTGAATATCAGCACTGTGATAAAATAAATAGAAAGTTTAGGAATCAAAGGATTATTTAATCTAAGAAAAATAAGTAAATCTGAATAAAAATAAATACCTTGATATACTAATTAACTGGGATTAATTTAAATGTTAATCCAGTATTAGTAGATCACTAATTATGATAAATTAGTTATTAGATGTAAGATTAAGATAATTTAATCTAACAATCTCTTTCTTTCTTCTTTCTTTCTTTCTTTCTCTTTCTCTCTCAACTATAAAATAAAACCCATAGAAAGAGACAAATCACCCTCATCTCTCACCTAACCCTTTACCAGAGAAGTTCCGGTCTCAGTGAATAGACTAACTTCTCTTTCCTCCTCTCTCTCTCTTTCTTTCTTTCTTTCTTTCTTTCTTTCTTTCTCTTTCTTTTGTCTT